CTTCTTAACTGAAAAGGACAGTTGGGCAACTTCATTGTTAGGAGATGCTGGCAATCTTTTCCAACTTTCACATTTTCTGATGCTTTTTAGAAAGCAGCAACACAGTAGAAATATCCTTCCTGATGTCTTTATAAAGGAAAAGCTTTTCCAACACAAACAGTCCTCTGTTGAACTTTAATACCCCTCCAATAAAAAATAAAAATTAAGAAAATAGAACAGGATCTCTTCATCTCATCTGAATCCAAATGACCTAACTAGAAAGGAACAAAGCTGTCATATGCAAGAATCTTCAGAGGAAAAACTCTCTGTGTAAGTAACCAGAAACTGCTAACTTAATGAAGTAGACTGTGAGTGGTCTCCCTCCTTCAGACTTTTTTCAAAGAATTTTTTCTTGGAAAACCATGAGAAAAACTTCTGAAAAAGAGAAAAATATATCTGTGATCTATTTTTACACTGTGTTTTAGCTCTGAACTCACACAAGCACTGACATGGAGAACTACATTAAGCAATTGCCTATGTACTGTTAGGATCTACCCAGGGTAGCACTCTGTATGCTCAGGCTTCAGTAGCTAATCCTGTAATCACCCCAGTCAACAGGAACAAACTCAGAAGTGCTGAAGAAAGCAGTTTTCCCTCTGATAAAGTTCACCTGACTTCCTAGTTGAGTAACTACTGTACAGAAGTGCAGGCAGATGCTTCTTTGGGAAGAACCATCTTGTACTGAATGGTGTTTACCAGCAGATTGCTCTTACAAGAGTAAATACCACTTCCTGCACTCAAAATACTACTGTAAAAGGAAAGAAACAGCTCCTACACAGACATAGGAATGGCTGAAGTGCTACAGTGATGTGCTAAGGCTACCACTTATCTGGAAGTACCATAATCCATCTGATACATCCTTACTTCCCCCACAACACTACTGTCAGCAAAGAATTAGTAGAACACTCTACTCAGGCTGCCCTCTAAAACAGCTTCCAACTACATGACCAGTTTTAGCTACTGTTGCTTTTTTCTCAGTATGGAGGTGCTGAGCTCCTCATCAATCTGCCCGGGCAGGACTCCAGCCTGGAACTCTTCAATTTTCAGGAAGAGAACAGGGATAATTGCAAAATCTCATAATTAGAAACCAAGTGATCCACCCAGGAGACACAACAGTGCACTGTTAATAGCTTTGCCTTCTGTCAGAGCCAAAAGCAACCTTGTTTTGGGCACTAAGCTGCCAATATCCAAAAAGAGAAGAATAGCAGCTACTTGTAAATACTCTCTGCCATTGCATTTTTACCTACTGCAAGTACTAGAAGTAGAGTTTCAGGAGTTGTTATTCACTTTCATGTAGTAGTTGCCATTTTGCTAGACAAGATTAAACAGGCAGGATGTTTCCAGGGCATGGAGATTACAGGGCAGGACTACCAGAAGAGACAGTGGCTACATAAGGAGAAAACACACCTATTTCTGAGTTTTTCTGGTTATAAGTCACCTAATGCAGTAGGTGGAATTAGGTGTAGCAGGAACAAAGACAACACTCTCCACCACCCCTTCCCTAGTGACATGGGGATATTATTTGCATCCTCCCCTACTGCCAGGGCTCATTTCTGAAGCTCCTTATAAACAAGATGCTGTATCTTTGCTTGTTACATTCAGTTATGTAGTTCTGCACACAGCAACTTCTCCCAAGCATTGAATACAGCAGTCTTATTTACAAGAGCCAGCTTTGCCTTTGTAAGGAAAATAATCAGGTTATATTCACTTAGTTCAAATGTACCCTGTTTAATTTGAAGAGCGTTGACTTGATAAGTATGTGTGAGGGCAAAAGTGTTTCACAAACACAACCATGTTCATGAATCTGTGCATGGTATAATTTTTGTTATATATTTACTTTATCTGATGAGATGCAGTCTAGATAGGAGAGAGCTGATTTAAAAAAATTTCCTCTATCAAAACCAAAGTGGAACCAATCAGCATTTGTGCAGGAAAAACCTGCCCAAGTAATGTTCACTCAGGCAGTGTTTCCCCTGTAAGTAATGAACTCACACTTCACTCTATTTTTTGCATCTCAGTGCTCAGAGAAGTGCTCCCAGCAGAGACCATGGTAGCAGGCACTCATCCTGCCCCTCCCTGCCTTCAGCCCCCCAGCACAGGCACCAGGGCTCACTCAGCCTGGGGGGCTTTGGGCAAGATCAACACTAAGGAACACATCTGTGTTGCACTGCCCTTCTGACTTCTTTTGTTTCTCTGTCTTTTTGAAGTGGAGCAGGAACTTTTTCAAAAATCAGATGAACCTGAAATGTACTTACAGTCCTTCCTGACCACAGCTTCAAACAGAAATGCCAGCTTTCAGGTTCTGAGAGAATGACAAGCTCCTGTAAACAAAATCCACTTTGCACAGAAAAACATAGCAACTAATTTCAAGAGCAAGAGCAGATGTTACTCTTATCCTCCAGTCTAGATCACAAATGGATTAAGCCAATTTTGTAATTTGTTTTTTCGAGCAGAGGGAAGGCATGCTTCTCCTCTCACTGAAGTGGCAGTTGCAGCACCTCTTTAAAAAACAGCCCCAGGATTCCATTTCTCTCTACAGATCATACTTTCCTTGACTTTAATTTCCTAATCAGATCCATTCATAACAGTATTTTTTCCTCCTCAGAACGCAGAAACTCTTTTTTGCTCAACCAAATCTGTATCAAACATCAGGAAACAGCACCACAGACTGACATTGGGAAGTAAAGTAAATAACAAACACTGACTTACATCCTATTTTCATAGAGCCCTTACACTTCCGAAACTGAAGGTAATATTCTGATCTATTATGATCTGAATTTCAGCAAGCCACAAATAACAGTTGAGAATGGTAGAAAATAATACAACACAAACTTTTTCAGCACTTCTACAGTACTATATCATGTGCTAGGTGTCTTCAATTATTTCCCAGGAATCTGTTAGCAAGTTTAGAATTTTACTTAGGCATTCTTTAACTCAATTTAAAGATCCTCTTATCCAAGATTTAACCAATTCAGATCACAGTTAGTTCATACCTGTCAGTATTTATCGTCTTACTTTGGAGTAAGATAAAACCTAAATAACTTAGTTTTAATAAATTGACAGACTGAAATGAATCCAAGGAAGTCACTCATTAAACAAGAAACTCCATACACAGCAACAGACAGTGACATCTTACTTTTATTTTTCAGTGTTTTCTTTTCATTTTACTTCTGCAATTAACAGAGCTGGGAAGAAGTATTTCTGATTTCACACATACACACACCACCACAGGTCTTTTCCTTTCAACAGTTCATCTGCAATTTCTATTGGAATATGCTATTATCATCACAAAGTTAATTACATAGCAACAGACATCTGACATCACTTATGTCAGAGGTTTGACCAGCATTACCTTTGCACTGGCACTGGGGAAAAAAAAGAATTCTTTGTCTGAAAAATGCACACACGAAAGTTATTTAATTTTAAGGCAATATCATCTGAATTTTCCATGATCCTGTTGCAACAATGATCTTACTGGGTTTCATGACACTGTTAACTCTCTTTGGCACAAAATAAAATGTGAGGCCCATGGCTGGGGATTCCTCATGGTTCTGCTATTTCCAAGGATCTGATCTGCTACCCAGCTAAAAACTCTTAGCAACACCTTTCCACATGGCAAGAACAAGGTGGCATCAGAGCTCATGATCTCACAACATTTTAGGGTATCAGGCTCCCTGACCTTGTAGTCACTTTGTTTACCCATCCCTCTCCCAGGATGTCAACTCTCAGTGACCCTAAAACACAGAGTAAAGTGTGTGCCCTCACTGGAGAGAGCAGGGCATTACCACCCAAGGAAAGACAAAAGGAGAAATATCCTCCACTCCAATGGCTCTGCTGCTTTGCCACCTGCCCTCTGGAGGGGCACAGCAGCCCATCCACAGGTCCCTGTGCTCACACAAGCACCCCCAGCAGCGGCAGGGGGAAGGTAAACTCTGGCTCACCACAGCAGTCACACTGCCCGGTAAGTGCTCCCGTGGGTATCATTTGAAGCACATTAAATTTGCATTAACCCATTAACTTAGGAACTGCTGTCAGCATGATGCAGTTCAGAGAAGAGCAGCGAGGCTGGGGAAGGGACTGGAGCACAAGTGCTGTGAGGAGAGGCTGAGGGAGCTGGGGGGGCTCAGCCTGGAGAAGAGGAGGCTCAGGGGAGACCTCCTCACTCTCTGCAACTCCCTG